ATAGGGCATTCTATTAGACTGCTGGCTTCCAGAGTAAAACAAAGTGTGCCTATGCCGACGTTCGAACCTAGACCACAAAGTGCCCCTAACATTGGCATGCGAATACGTTACCAAGTAAGCTATGACGGGGACTATTGATTTGTATCTAGCCAAAAAAAAAAAACTGCAGTCGTAGAATGTACGTCACGCTGAACTAAATCAATTTTAGAGCGACAGGTTTACAATATCGAGTCTATTAATATCTGTTAATATGAAAGATTTTAAGTGCTAAATAAATATTTTCTTTTCAGCTAAGTGATTCTGCGTCGGCTATTTGTGCGAACTAAGAGAAACTTAAGTTTTTATAGTAAACATCGCGTATAAGAAGAAATACAAAACATTTAAAAACAAGAACAAATGATAACAGATACTTTCAACTTTATTTTAGACCTTGGCTGAATCAAAACTGCTTAAACTTGGTACGTAGTGAAATGGAAATTGACATTGTAATGTTATATAACCTAATAAGCCGTTTTCTGCCGACACCTAAGCTAAACCCGTGACCCCCACTGAACGCCTTAATGTTTTTTTTTGATATAAACATATCGAGTTATTTATGTATAACGCATGAACGACGAAATAAATTCCCATACTCAAAATCAAGTTATGTATTACCTTCGTTCAAGCTTGTCGGTTCTATGTCGTTCTATACAAGTTTATAATAATAAACAGTAGCAATTCGAAATCTGAATTTGCAACTCATCGAAATTGGCCCTTCAGGCCACTTCTACATCACAGGATTTAGACGAGCTCGTTACGTGCTCAAAGACGTACTTCGTCAAAATGTTTATATATTTGTCTTCTAACCTCGAGACCAAAACTAGAGATCCCATAATTACACCGTTTACGTTTTTATATAACAGGAAAAATCTTCAGAGGAAATTTTGTGGGTTTTTTTGGTACTGTTTTTTTAAAACATCACAGACCCTGCACCACAAATCTAATAGAATTGCTGCACTCCTATTGAAAAACAGCGCTAAGGCCATTGAACACAAAGGAACTCGTTGAGCTGTATGGATGACTTGAAATGCCCCTTTAATCACAACACTGTTGCTTTATTTCATAGAATAGTATATCATGTTATTAGATTGGAGATAACATTACGTGGGCGCTAGTCAGCCAAAGGTACGCGATAAGCTAATTTTGAGCATATATTTTTTTAAAAAGATTGCTGTATCCGTCGGGGATCGAGTCTGGCCCTTTGGCCGGTGAGACCCCGCGGCAATCTTCCCTACATTTAGACTATAAAGGCTTCATAAAGAGATCCATAAAAGAAAGTCAATAAGAAAGTTATGTGTCGAAATCGCAAGTTTAGCATATAGAAATAGAAGAAACCTAAAAAGAAAATTGGGACAGCAGTAAGGGTTTAGCCTCTGCCTTGTGCAATCCTTTGTTAACTCCAGCGCAATACAGAATCTGACGAAGGCGAAACAAGGTGTCTACAGCGAATGATCCTGCCCACGATTATATTTTCATCGTGGGGTACTTCACTACTGCTCGATCAGCTGAGGATTAATTGGCTACAAACACTGGATGAAACAAACTGGTAAAGGTTAATTTGAAAAACGGCCCAATTGAACCTTTAGATGCGCAAATCGTTCATTTAACAAATGTTTAGAATGATGCGTTTATAATTGCTTTCTACATAACACGAATCGTTCGGTTAGCAAAAACCGTTGTACAGTGTCATCCAGTTACTGCAATTCTAATACTAAAGGTAGCTTCTCGAATATTATAAACTCATGAAGGGGAACCCGAGCCATTTCCTTTGTGTGATTTTTCCACCAGGGACGGAAACGGTAGGCCCTAACTGATGCAGTACGATCTTCTGATCTCGAGGGCAGCATTCAGGGGACTGCGCCAGAGTTTGCCGATGAGCTATGTCAGAAGCATGGGTCTGTGTTCCGGAGGTCATCTGTAAATCGTGGATGTTGCTTTTTTCACTTCGTAACTAAACACTGGTGCTGTTGCAATTATTCAACCGTCTAGGGTCCTGCAACTGTAGAAGCTTAGCTTTGGTTGGATGGAAAAATCGGTCGTCGTTGATACCTTCCTGGCGTTTATGGCTTCGATAGGCTAAAACTGAACACCACTTTTTATCTATCCTCGTTTTCCTATTTTCTCGTCTCTTTCTTTTTATTTACTTTTCTGCACCTTTGTTCCATTCGCTCGCTTCTTCTTGTGCCTGTTACTCCGTGTAAATCAGTCATTGCACCGTCTTCGCACAAACTTTACCTCGTTTACCTTTACTCCCGTGTCATAACATTCGCCCACGAATCCCTACTGTTTGTCCCTGGGCCCCATCCCTCACAGTCCCAAAATTTTCTCAAATAACGCTTAGTGAAAATCACGCATCAGACACCCAATGCGGGGTGAAGATCATTTTAGGTAGGCCTTTGCACTTGTTCTACCGATGTCCATTAGAGGTGGATTACCATGGCTACGAAGCTCGGCTGGTTATGCAGAGGATAGTTCTGTGGTCATAATGTTAGTAAGCTAACGATGCCAAGAAAAAAAACGTTTCTCTTATTACTTCGACGGGTCGATGTGTCCCAGCAAGTTGAAGGCAAGCGCCCCTTTTTTACCTCATTTCTGTAGCTTCCCATTACTGTATTTATTTCTGGGCTGAATTGGTTTCATTGTGTCCAAATAAAATCATTTAGCCGAAAAGAAGCATTGCGGATCATAACTAGAGGGGGGCTTCTCACGTTCTTAGGTACTAGCCCTTAGCTAGCATACATTTCCTATTTGCACGCACATTGATATAGAAGCAACAAGGTGACGAATTTGTCGGAATGTTTTCTTACAAAAGGAGAACGGGGAAGGGCGAGGGGAATAACGGTAGAAGGAATAAAATCAAATTATTAGGTAATACCTTTGCTGTGAGAGTTTCGCTCATTGCCTTATTTCTTAAGTATATCGGATTTTTATATGACAAAGACTGATCACGTCGCTATAGGGTCGCTTCCATACACAGTGGGACAGAAATGTTTCCCACTATGGATTTTTCACATAAAATCAAGTAGCTCGGCTAATTTACACTTCTGACGTTCGCATCAGTCATTGACAAACCAACTGTATTGACCGTAGCATGCTTAACAATATGAGACAAATCATACATTTAGACAGAATCTTTTTATGCTTACATTTCCGTCAATAAATGTTACGAATTAGACGAAGATGCCAGTGACTTGATCCTATGCAATGAACATAAATGTATCTCTAAAAATGACTACATTTTTTTTTATAAAATATCTTATATCCAACTTTTAATAAGTTTATGTAGCAAATTTCTACTCATCCCACGATCTTTTGATTTTTCTATTAGATTAAATGAATCAGAATTAGCCTGACCAGTATAATTAACGCACTTACCTACTCGTATCACAGCCTGCGCTGCGTGTATTCCGTGATGCATTATAATGGCGGTCATGGTCAACCAACCCGGACGTGATAATAGCCCTCTCTCTTTGGCTCACAAACATAGTTATCTTCCGCGCCATCACCATTATCATCTTCCGTTTTATCTTCACCGTTAAATCCGCCGAACCAAGCCGCCGGTAAATTAAGTGGTTGTAATGTATTACGTACAGAATGGGAGCATTTCATTCTGGCATATTTGAATTATTTACCTCATGCAAGATCTACGAGCGTACAGATTTATGGAGCTACTTACGAGTTACGGGTTTGTCAAGAGACTGTACCGTACTGCTTTAACCTAGAATTTGCGATATATAGGCATGCAAAGCACCGATGCCCACAAATAGCTAGGGCATAGTCACAAAAATATCAGTCACATTTACTGATCGATGTCCTGAGGTTTCCAAATGTAGGCAAATCGTTTTGAAGTGATGCGTTTGACCTGAATGCGCATGTTAGTCCGGCCCAGTCTAGCTTAGTATAGATCCTGCTTTTGCCCAATGGCCATCACAGTCGTTAATTAATATCCTTTAGTTATTTTTTAATTAATTGATCAGATTTCGTGTATCCGGACTAACACACAAGATTATATAAAGATTACGTTAGCAGGCAGTGTTATATTAGAAGTTAAAACCAGCTAATTCAGAATGAGAAGTTTGCTATTATCGAATAACAGCCTCACCAATAACTGTTTACGAGCACTTTTTCGAGCGAAACAAAAATCAAGAGCCTATTTAATCCAAATATAAATTCTCCTGAATACCAAGACGCATGTCCTGGTTAGATTTTTGTCTATTTTTATCAGGACGGAAGCCTCACACTACTGATACTTCGTTCGCAGTAATTTATGTGACAGAATACAGATCAACTTTGAATTTAAAATTAGCAGAATGTAGTGGTGTTTTTTAATCAAACGTGATTGCAGAGTGATTCGAAATTAACAACTAAAATGCTATGAGATATTTTTAAGTGTTGACTGATCCAAGACCCATAATTGTGGATACATCCATAGCCTGACTGAATAGTGATAACGACAAGGCTATTATTACCTTAAAATATTTTCGTAAAAAAGTTCACCGATGGAAAATTCTCATTAAGATATGCTCTTAAAGCACGACGATATAGGTGCAGATGCGGTGTTCTGTTGGAAACAAATTTCGCCAGTTTCTTTAAGGACTTCTCAAGTGCGTGGTAAATTAAATCCTTACAGTAAACATAACCAGTATTGTCAAAAAGGGAATGGCCCAATTAAATGACTGTATATATTGTGCATATGCATGTGCAGCATTTTCCTACCGGGTGACCTTTCTGCTCGTTGTCTGTCTATGCCCGAATTCGAACCTGGACCCTCGGCCCCGCTAAACCGAAAGAAGTCACCTGGTGTTTTTGCGGATTCATTTTACCTTTCTTTACTTGGTGCTAAATAGCACAATAAATGTAAAGTATGTCGACATGAGAATGGGTTTTGCGCACGGCGAATTATTAGTTTGTTCGCTTCCAAGATTAGTTAATCGATCAGAGCAGCAGCAACAACAACTCACCCAGGTTGCAGGGTCTGATGAGCCTCCGTCGAGACGATCAGGAGTAACGCCGTTATCACACTCAGAAGCCGGTTCATTGTCACTTTGCTAAAACATACCGAAACGGACACACACACGGGATTAATACAGACGTATTGATGATAGACGAGGGAGACACGTTGTTTGCTTGATCCAGCTAGCTTCCCTAAGAGCCACGTCTTGTCCCGGTTGATGATATAACTGTTACCCGTGCCATACCTTTGCTATGAGAATTCCATACGAACGTATGGACTCGATTAGTTTTTTCTGAAAAATCAAAACGACGGACAGCGCGCACAACGATCTAATAAGCACGTGCATACGCCGAAAGACGTACATACACACCTAAAACGGCTACGCGTCCCGTATTTGCAGATTTTCATCGATTTTTTTTAGGGTGCTACGCTAGCCGTAGTAATCTTCTTATCCCGCTTTGAAGAGCTCGTATTGTTAAGACGGTTAGTAAACGTGAAGAGCGTTAAACCTTGTTCTTACCATTTACGACTCCCCTTCAAGGCACTCACTGTTTCTTCCAAGTATCTTCAATGGGTTCCAGCTCTAGGATTGACTTTTCGCACTGCCCTGACCGATACAAGTTTCCGTACGCAAGCAAACGTTTGTCGATTTCTTGCATCTACTGTTGATTTTGTTGTCCAATTTTAAAGGAGAGTGCAGGGAGTGGTACGAGATTTCAAGTTTGCCTTCGTCATCGTCTCCCTAACAAAAATGAAAATACAGTCAATTTCTGAAGTCGGAACCCGATCGTCGTCGATGACGTTGATGATTTTCGAAATAATGCACGAGTAGCAATGAGACGGAAATTAATAAATTTCCGTGCGCGTGCGAGTCAGACTTCGGTGTGTCTATGTGTGTTCGTCTCCGTGTGTGTCAGCAGTGTAATTGCTATCACAGGATTATCTTACCCCTAATCTTGTACTGCTGATACTCCTGACCCCTCCGACTCTTCGGACCCTGAGCGCCGCCAGCGCGAAACGACTACTATCTGCGAGAGGAGTCGTACTTAAATTTAAGGCGCTGCAAAAGGCGCTGGCGTGCCACTTTGTTCTTAAGGCGACAACTTCCACCTGTTTCTATTGTTTGTTGTTAGTGTTTCTTTTTTCGTCTTGCCCTTCGTCCGACTGCGCCTCTTAGTAAGTTACTTCTAAATCTTCATAGGTTGTGCTATTCTTGCTGACATATATTGACGTTTGTTGAGACACTGTTGCAATTTGTATGTGCGTGTATTGGTTAAATGTGTGCGTCTTCACTGAAAACTCTCTAGAAAATAGGGCTGATTGTTTCAGTATGGCAGATCGATTGTTCTGTTCAACGGCAGTGCGTGAACTGAGAACGGCTTGACCTGTCACATATTAGCTTCACCTATGCGCAGACACGAAGGTTTATGCAAGAGCACGATCGACTTATAGATGCGACGCTTTTTTGAGCATCCAGACAGCTCAGTCTTGAAATTGTGGATTGGTTACGGCTTTTCTAAATCAATTTGTTGAAACAGATTCGTTTTTTATTATATTAGCTAAATACGTTTAGTAAAGTTGGCAGGTTTCTCGTGTGCGGTCGGTGGTTGTTTGTTGTGCTCATAGACTTCGCGTGTAGCCTCGCGTTCGTCCCACGTGATCCGAAATAGTGGGGTTAGCTAGTCAGATTGAAATCCTTTCAAAATAGATGTCAAATCAAGACTGACTGAGCCTTTTGTCTCGCAGAGAAACGCGACCGATTGCTGCTGATTACGAGGTAATGTTACAAGCCATATTTTGCCAATCCACTACTGTTCCGAGGACATGCAGAATTCGTCAATGACCCAAACAAAACAAAGCTGAAAGCTACTGGCTATAGTGACGTCTAGAGAAGCTCCGGAACCTTTATTCGTTCCTAGGTTAACACTTGTTGTCCCAGGCGAGATACAAAGTTGAGTGTTCTTGTACTACCTTAAGTCAGAAATTAGATTTCAGCTGGGCCGATTACAGCGGTCTTAGGGCGCAATTCGTTGAAAAGTTCCACCCTACGTTCATATTTCACACATCTGTAGACATTTTCGTAGTAAAAAACAGTTTAGTCAATCTGCGGCTTGATATTTTTTTAATTAGTCTCCGAATAGCACTTACGGTCGTCCGTTTTCTTCGTTTCGTCCTGAACATGTGCCAAACTACAGCCTAAAATCTTACTACGCTTCAGGACTTCACGAGTTCCATCAACGTTCAATTGGGTTGTCGGCTCAGATGATTAATTGGTGAGCGATGAATGACGATGGTGATGAAGACAGCAGTAACGAACAGCTGGAATCTAATTATCCGTTCGAATAAGAGCAATAGCAATAATAGTAATAATAATAACATAGCAATGCTCACGAGGCCTGTCTCGTCACCCTTTATTTTGACGCTTCCCTGCGAATACTTCAGTGAACGTTGACGGGCGCATGTTGATACCACCGTCGCACTTGGCGCGAGCACAATTTATGATTAAACACGTTTTTCTCCTTTTCCAGTCAACGGGTCACGTTATAGTCCCGCCGCACCAATGCAAAACAAACGAATTCACAAGCAACAACAGCAGCAGCAGCAACAACAACAACAACAACAACGACGACGACGACGACGACGACGACGACGACGACGACAACAACAATAACAACAGCAGCAACAAGTGCAATGACGATTTGAGAAAACACCCGCGCACTTTTCGAATCGCACGCCGACTTTTTGTACTGCTATTATAAGTTTATTATGAGTGCTATTAGGCTAATTAGTAGGGTCACAAAAACTCGAAAAATATTGAAAAAAAGAGACTGAACAACAACGTTCATTTGTTAATTCCAGCGTGATGAGGCAGGTATTTATATCTATTGATTTTCACATTTAGAAATAAGGCTACATTAGAAAATAAGGACTTACTTCACTGTAAAATAGCGGCTCGTAATGACGAAGGTGGTAATGTGCCTGCTGTGTAATTAAGTAGTTGGATGAATGCGACTTTCACAACAGCTGATGAAGATGATACAGTGCATCAGGAAACTGTCAGGACGCAGACCGCCATTTCTACAGTTACGACTGCAAAGGTACAGCAGCTTCTTATTGTTGTTATTTTCGTTGAAGTTGTTAAAAGGAGCGCCGTATGCTGTCTGTGATTGTGATCGTGGACATAAGATAATGGCGCAATTTTCTTGCTGCTCAAAAGCAATTGTTTTCGTTAATTTTGATTTTGCCGATTGTTTAAAACTTCCTCTCGCTTCTGCTGCTGTTACTACCGGTTCTTGCAAAGTTTTCTCAGTTTATCTTGCGGTCAACTGGTTGAGGTCCTGCTAATGTCCTCCGATTTGCTTTTAACGTGGCTAGACTTCGAACAGCTCTTCGGGGCATCTTCTTCGACGCCGTCCACGTGTCCTAATCATCGAAAAAGTCTAAGTAAAGCGTTCACCCCGAATAGCGGCTCATGGAACGAACGCATCGGCACTGGAAACAAACAGATTTGCTCGATGGCCGAACTTGTGTAGCAGACAGCTGATTTCGCGCAACCTACTGGCCCTACCAAATCGTTGTTTGTGGCTTGTGTCAACGGTGAGGCCAGCGGCATCCAGTAGCGCAAGGGAACAAGATCTTGAGTCGTTGATTTGCAACGTTTTTCTGTTTGTTTGTTGCGTCCTGTAGCATGGAAAGTGGTTGTGGCAATTACAGAAACCCGAAATTACAATCCCCGTGATGGACAATAGACAACTCGGTATGCGTTCTTTGCTGTGATTCGGAACTGAACGAGATTCGATCTTGGATTCATCGGTCGATGCTGCTTGAAATGTGGCCTCCGACGTCTTTTTGGTAGTTGTTTTGGTTTGACTGGGTGTTTGTGGTTTCGTTGTTATTGTTGTTATTGTTGCCGTTGTTGGTGCTGTTATTGTTATGTGAGCTGTTACCGGCGTTGAGTACGGCGTAGCGCAGAACGATAATCCGCATCGAATACTAACAACAGTCGTAAGGCAGTATGCGGCTCTCCGGGCCGAACCCGGGCCCGAAGTCATTTTTGGGTCATAGTGATACCGTCCGTAGTCCAACAGTTAAACATGTTTTGTTTTGGAGCTCCTTCACCGCCTTCAGCTTAACTAGGTTCACGTAAGGGTAGAGCCATTCACCGGGTCGTAGCGATATCAACAAATGGAAAGCCGACCGACTCGATCAGAAAGTGTAAACTAACTTCAAATTAGATCGTTGCTCACTCAGGCTACTCATTGGTCAGGAATATCCTCGTTGACCGCGGCAATTCGTCGAACAGACTACCACTCGACCATTCTTAACTTTTCTTTCTTAACTTGCTAGACATGGGGAACTTCCTAAAGCACAACAGCATCCTCCACGTGAACGTCACTTCGCAGCTGATACACAGACGTCTATTACACAGACAAAAGCATACATTCATTCACTTGTACGACATGCTCAATATAAGCGAATTCACTGCATTTAATCACTCCTAGAACAGTCACACAAAGCTCATTCTGTGAATGCGCGCTCTTTTCATCTAGCCGCCGATTTCTACTAATACTATTATTACATATTAAAACTATCAAGCATTGGTTAAGTTAAATCGGCTCGATGGCGACCGGCACTTCACGTACTAACACCGATCTTGTCTCTTCCCATATCCTGCCGTACTTATGTCGGTTGCCCGGTGCAGCTCACATACGTGTTTTCAACCCAACGGGCTCACCGGGCCGTGGCTACGACTGGATGCCTGTTTTATGGAGCTGAGTCGCAGATCGAGCAAGCAGCTCCGGATTTCTAGTTCGGTTCGTGTCGACTCGCAAACTTCCCTCTCTTACTCGCCCTCTCCACATTGGGACGGGCAATCGCCGGCTGTCAGCGGAGTGGCCTGCACATTGGGGTGGAAGAGGACAACAGTAGCAATAGCAGTAGCATGCCAACCGAAAGCTCCAAAGGCCCAACGCCCCACCGCAAGGCGAACCTACGGCGTCCATAAGATCAAGAGCGCGAAATATATAGTATTCTGGACATGTCGAAGGTCTACGTAGTCCTTACATACACAAGCTACCCACCAGACAGGTGCATATAGGTTCTGAACGGCACGGCGATAGGGCAAGGTGATACACGAAAAAGAGCTACGGGCCAACATTCATGATGAGTGATCGTCACTGTATCGGTGTTCCGAATGAAAGGCAAAAGCAGGGAGGAGCACTTGCAGAAACTTTGCCATACCTACGAGAGGGGAAAGTAGTAGTGATACAGACGACATGAATATAGAAATAACGAACACAAACATTGTCCTGTCTCAGAGCTCAAGAAACTTTATGGGACAGAAAGGAGTGTCAACAGAATACGTGCCGTCGAAACAAATACATAAATTGTTAGCTACAAATGCATACTTATACAGCGTTACGTATGTCAAAAATACACATTAATCTGTAAATTATAGTGGAATAGAAAAAGATATGAGCTTGGGGCAAATACAAACCTGAAGTTGCAGCTGTCCAATGTGGAACTTCGTGGAACACCAACGAACCCTGGACACAAGTCAAAAGAAAATGCCCGGGAAAGCTTTCCGCAAAAATCCGGGCCAGTTTTTTCTCTTGCTGCTAACTACGTTCCCGATATTCAGTTGGTGTCATAACTACTCGCGCTACTAAAAGGAAGAATTTTCCAAAGGCTATGAGTTACGTTTGAGGTTTTGATTTTAGGAACGCTATGGCTTTCGCTAGCAATTTGTTATAAACTATAGTTTACACAAAGACATACGGCTATATTATGAAAATGTCATATGATGAATTTCGTCGTAACGACATGGCGTTTAATTCTACCGCGTCGCTTCCACATTGAATCGATAAGTTTACCTATTCAATAAACGTTGGATCTACAGTGCTTATTTTCCGTTCATATGGAACCGAACTACTATTATATGTATGTGTTTCGTTGTGGAAAGTATATGGCTACCTACGCTGTTGGCCTGGCATTTTTGTGTTATTACACATGAAATTGACCATGTCTTCTTTGCATGCCCGGTAATAGCTAAAAAAAGAAAAATAATCACTTAATTCACAGAAATGTATCAACCTTACTAAATAAAATAGATGCCCATTTATTCGGAACGTGTTTTGATTACTACTTACTCGAGTTGTCGTCACGATCCAATTTAAACTTACTTTATTAATGCCGTTCGTGCCTTCTCCGCCTATATTCTTTAAATATGTATCACCGGTAGCTCCGGATTGATCCTGCTTATCTGTTTTGTGTGTTCGATGTGCCAGTGAACGTTTAGCACCAATACAGACTCCGAGCATCGAGGTACTTACGAAATAGGAACATTTTCGTATCTAATCTATGTAGAATTCGTTTATCGCAGTGATTGGAGATCAAGCATAATCTACTCTAAGTGACTTATGGCTTAATTTTAGGAATACCTAAACATATACAAACGTTTTTTCTTTAATAGAAAAAAAAAGTATCCTTTTATGGTATTACTGGAAAAGACGAAAAGCCTATAAGCTAACATGATTCTGCTCGTTATCGCGTTGCTAATTTTCATAGTGTACGCTTTTTTCAAGGTGATACTTTATGGTCCAATTGTAGTCTTTTTTGGCCAAGAATTGACATGTAGAACAAGCTAAATAGCGCTGAAAGCGTAACCCAGTACATTAACGCCTTGTTTAAGAACGCGGAGAAATCTATTCGAACATAGCCAATCGGAAATGAAATACTGCAGGTCGGGTAGGCCAGGTTTTTTACATGATTGCTCTCATTCATGAAGTACAGCAGCTGTATTGTTTGAATACAAATTTCAGCTGAAGTGATAAAAGACACCTAGGTCTTGAAATTAATGCTAACGGCGAGATTTCCCTTTGACCCAATAAGCTTTGCAGTCCTTCATTCGGTTTTAAGCCACTCAATTTGTTTTGCATTGTACACTTGCTTGGGGTCTTCAACTTGGGGCTTCAACAAAGCCGGTCGGGGTAACGAGATACCATTTCGATGTCCGATATCTGCTAGGTCGATTTTAAGAGGCTTAGGAAGACGATTATACAATAGGCTAACGGACGCCATTGTTTTGAGACGGTAGTCGGTGGACTTATATGACGCCCATATAAACTGACGATTAAAATACCATGCTTTTGCTATTCAACAAGTTGACCGCAATAAGTTCTCAACAGTAACGTAATGGGTAAATTAAAACGAGGGTCTCTCTTGTGATGCCGTCTGATCTATTGGAAAAGTGTTTTACACTGTATTTTCAGAATAGACTCTTAACTAAAACCACGTTTCTAGATACTTGTGGGTGACGTATTTCTTCTTTGATGGCCTTAACGTTCGATACGGTTAGTTCCGAAAATGATAGACAGAGTTCTATTGAACGTCAACGTACGTGGTCAATTATCAAAGTAAAACTGGCCCGTATTTTCAATGAGGAAGCTTTGTAAAAGGTATGAAATCTACCGCTCTAGTCCATTTGCCAGATATTTGCCAGAAAGACGTGAATTGAAAAGTAAGTTGGGAAGCCATCTTGTGAAAAGTGTATACTATATTGTTAATAAAATGACCCTCTAACATTTCGATTCGATAATACTTGTGCACTCCCTCGCTTGTATCCTATATTCAGTAGTTGGGATAAAATGTTTACTGATCACAGAACTTAGATAACTGAACTAAGATAAAACGTCTTTGGCATTTCATATTTTTGGACCTAGTCTGTTCCATGTTAAGTTCTATAGAAAGCAGCAAAGTACTGTGAAAAAAAAAATTGGTATTAGCTTTCGTGTAGCATTATCTTCTTAGTCTTTATAAACATATTCTTATTATAACGGTATACACGTGTAGCAATTTAAGTTGTGACTATTTGTATATAGTGCGTATTTACCAGCAATTACCAGACTGTTGATTTACCACATGTAAAATATAGTTGGTGTCCAAAGTGAAAAATTATTAGAACTTTATATCAGCATACTGCTGGGTTAAGATAGCAAGTTGACATAAACGCCATTAACTTTTTCTTTGCTGTGATTAAGCGGCGTTTCAGACATGGCAAAAATACCGCCCATGTCCTAGAATCTTACATGATAATTGAAGGCAGATTCCGCGGGGGCCATCGGTGTAGGAACCCTACAGAATCATCTTGCTGCACAAAGACACCTCCTTTTTCCATCAACTTAACTGTTCAGCGACACCGTTGCGGCTTTGGCAGCCTTTTGATGGTTCTATTTTACCTATTAACAAGCCTAGTGACGTTCCTCATGACCCATGATGTTCGCTTGCAGATGTGAGTGCTTAGCATTGAGTCGCAGTCTGGAAGGGCGTTCAAAAACCCGTCTCCACTTGCAAATAATATTTTTCTAGCTATAATTAATATACATTAAGTTTTAACATATGAGTATAGGCTGTCGTAACCTTTGTACGCACTGTCCAGTTATTCCAAAACGAACCAGCAGTTTGATTACGCGAACAAACAATTAGCGAGCTAAAAAGAAGTCGACCTAAACGCTTGAACAAACATAACTGGCCTAAAAAAAACTGTTACTAAAGTTAGAGTTGTCAAAAAAAACGAGACAAATTTTCACTAGGAACTTGCCTGCCCTAGAATCAGATTTGTCAAAATAGACTGAAAGCAAATAAAGAGTACTACGTTAGCGGCTAGATGGGCCCGATACCCGAATCGACAGTGGGATTTAAAGAAAGAATATGTCTCAGAGAATGCCGTACCAATATAGAATTACATAGACCTCAAGGTGCGCATTGTACGCGTTCCTAGAATAAATATAGCATAGATATGCGTGTATATATGCTGTACAAAACCGTTCTCTCTCTCTCTCTCTCTCTCTCTATATATATATATATATATATATATATATATATATATGCGCACCACAATTTGCAGAAAGCGACGTGCTTAGCGTGACTAATGCATAGTTGTGAGCAAATGGCCAAGATAATCATGGGCCTGCTGCCGTCGCTGGTTCGAATTTTAGCATTGATAAGTGGTTACTATGATACAAAATAAGTATGTAATTTCATAGATTTGTTTGAGAAAAACCCAGATCATTCCAGTAAGACCCACAGACCAGATAGCCAATGGCCGATGGAAAGTAATATGGCAATACATATTATTTTACACTGGCGCGGGTTTCCGCCAAAGGTTGACACGAGCCTATTTATACTGCTGCAGTACTTCAAGTTCAGACTCGGGCTACTCCATAAACTACAAGCAAAAACTAAAAATCAGCCACGATTTAAAAATAGTATTATTAACTCATTAAAATTCTGCTTAAATAGGCTACGACCACAGCATTTTAGTGCAACTTGGTTGAATTTTGGCCTGATAACAGGCCAAAGGTCTCAAAAATGCCATGCCTCAAAACGGCTGATAAGTACAAAAGGTTCAAAAAGTCGCAGAAAATCTTCGCTTCAAGATGGCCATAAAATTCTATATAGAATATTGAGGTATCTCAAAAGCAGATTTTTGGACCGCTTCAGCGAATTGTCGGTTATTCTTATACAAATATAAATTCTGTTGAGAACATTTCACTTAAAAACTGGCAATTAGTCAGACCCTCAATTTCGGACAAATAACAAACTTTTTTACCATGAAAACGCAGACTGTGAATTTCGGGCGGAAAAAAGTTTTCTTTTAATAACGGACCGACGTTATCGGGTTGGAATTAATTACACGTTTGTTTAATAACGCTTCGTCTATGCTTATCCCAAAACATGGTCAGATATTCAAGCTTAGTTCAGTTATACCTCAAACATGGCACCATCTTGGCAGAAGACGTACGTTCAAATACCCTCTATACATGATTGCATAACAGTTTTTATAGACAAACTTTTATGCTAATAGTTTTCCCTTCCTAAAAAAAGTACCGGGGTACGATGTCTTTTTTGCTGGATATCATACTCAGAGCTTTACTTAATTTTTTTAATTTACTTATTTATATTTTAATTTTACCCATGGTATGCATGTTTTCTAAGTTCTTACGTTTTAAACTTTTTTAAATTCTTAGGTTTCTTAAATTTTGTGGCTAATAGTTATATAGATAATAGTCGTCTTTTCATCATAGGAGAACTGACGACAACCTGGTGTTTTTATTTTTAAGAAAGGTGACGACCAAACGGCATCGAGGAAGTCTCGAGACTTATCTTTTAACCTTTTTAGAGAGTATTTATTCATTATGATATATGGGGTGTTGCTGTGATTTTCGTGAGGTATTAACAGCCTTAACCACATAAAACCTCTTTGTTTAAAGTCCTATCAAAGCGGGAAGATCATGATAGGACCACTTGTCGACGACATCGATTAATTCTAGGAATTGTACGGTTTTTGGGTATGTATCGTCCATTTTTCGTTGGGTTTGTCTACACGGACATGTTTGCGGGGTTGTGTATTGTGGATTTACCGATCGGATCACGGTCGAGCATCACTTCAATGGTTATTTGTCGACATTTTTTCTGGAGATTTCATCCACCAGTACCGCTTAAAGATCGCGAATCTTCAAACCGCGTTTGTCGTTTGAAGAAATTCCAAGTTCACGCCGATCACGCCGTATATATATGTATATGTATAATTTGTGAGAATAGGGAGGTGATTCGAAAAGTATTGGTAGCTCGAAAAAAACGCCGCCCGGCTTCAGCTCTCGCAGCGAATAACCAAATGCGAGCAGTGAACGCGTAGCACTTACGCGACTCACTCCGATTGCACGTCTGATATAAAGCAATCGATTAGAAGATTAATAATATTATTAAAATAAAGTAATAAAGTCTTAAACTTAAAGGTATCGTTTTTATCCTCAATGGATCGTTTATGAAGTTCCCACTAATGGAGTTAGTCGTAAAGGAATTCTAACTTGTTCTCAATAGCTAAGGCTGACGGTTGAGATCATACGCGGCAAATGGAATGCTGACGAGGGCACTCTTGAGATGAAACCTAATGCAAAAGCCCCTTACTCATTATTAGGCCGCATGCCTTTTAACTCAATTGACACACTGTACCCTTTA